ATTTTTTTTTTTTTTTTTTTTTTTCATTTAATTTAAAAAATTATCTGACAAATTTCAAATTTTCAAAACAGTGGGAGGAGGAGAGGGAGAGAAAAGGGAAGAGAAATAAAACAAAAAACAATGTTTTTTAAATTGAATAAATATATAAATAATATATAAAATGAATAAATATTTCACTCAAAAATAGGTATCCCATCAGCTTGCTCTCAATGACTAATAAAAAAATGCTACTAAATTAAAAAAAAAAAATTAAGTTTAAAATGTATGTTTTTTTTTTTAAAAAAAAAACAATATTTTAGCTGAATAATATGAAGATATTCTTGAAAGATTAAAAAAAGAATAGAAAAAAAAGAGAGCTGAATGTAAAAAAACTATTTCATTTATATTTTTGGTAAAATAAATATTTTCTCCCTACCAAATTTTGTAAAGAAGCGCAGTTACAACTTACAAGTTATAATCTCGTCTTTCTTCATTTGGCACCCACAATTTGAACTACAACAAGTACTACAACTCTTTGCAGTATAGTCTGTGTTCATGCCTGAGTTTAATCTTGATATTTTCATATCAAACACAAACAGCACAGAGTATGAAAAGACACGAAGTATTTCGAGAGAGAGAGAACATTATAGAAGACGTAAAACCAATAGTCTGAACATAGATTGAGACCTAAATGAGAGTGATTGAACTCCAATGATGTGTATGAAATCTCTAAGAGCAAAATTTTAGCTGAAAATGCGTACATACACAAAATCAAACTCGCTTGTCTGCTACAAGAAGAAGAGGCAATCAGTTCCTCACAGCTGCTATGATACACAAGGCATGTGACTCTGCCGAGAGCAAGATTCTTTACATGGTAGTGAGAAAGTTAATGAATCAAGGTTCACAAGTATTGAGATAGATCAGCCTGGCCCTCCAAGTCCCAAATAGCAACTTTTCCATCCAAGCCTGTAAGGTCAGGGCAAATAGCTTCCATTAAAACCAGCCTTCTCATAAGTTTCGATAATTTTCGTGACATGAAAATGAAGGCTTCAGAACTTAAGGACACACAACAGATCTTGTTCATAAATAAAAATGAAGGACTAAGATTTGTTCAATATCTCTTCCTTTTAACAAACCTGAAGTGCTGAATCTCTTTATAGTGGAAACCCTTCGCTCTCTAAGAGGCACAATACAACTACAGTTCAAAAACAAATCATTACGTCATGCACATTTAACAATGTGAAGGCCACCCCATGTCCATACCCACTTTTTGCTAATTCGCTCAGATTACAAATGGCTCTCTAGATAAGCAAATAATTAAGTGGATATGGGGCTTCCTCCCGGAAATCAGAGTAATTCACAAAATCAACCAAGTAGAAGCTACAGAAAATATATTCAATAACTACATACTTTATGCAATTCTCGTGGACAATTCCGCGCAATCTTGAAGATTCAACTGATTCATTGCCAACACCTTGCCTCGGTTGACCATATAACTTCCCAAATGCTTCTGAAAACTGATTGAGAAAAAAAGGCGTTTCACAAATTCAGCATGCGAGTTAAACCAACTGGCAAAGTCTATTAGTTGATGAACAAGATGTGGAGAATAGCCATGAAAGTTAAACCAACTGGCAAAGGGCACTAGCCTTTGTATTGATCTTTATTTAAATGATCTTTTTTTTCTTTTCAAATATTTATTATTTTTGTTTGTTTTTCTAGACACTTTTTTCTAAATCATTGTTTCATTCGATACTCTATTTTCAAATTTTCAAATTTATGTATATTATTAAAAATGACAGGGAAACCAATATTCAAAGTCAAGCTAAGTCCATATACTTGCAGCCCCGTCAATCCCAGTATGGAGTACTGGGACCTGAGCATTCAGACAGGGTGGAACAACTGAACAGTCAACGACCCATTTAGATCAGGCCGTCTGCAGACCTAACTAAAAAGATACATAAAATTACTAAGCATTCAGCCAGTAGACAATGCATTCTGTTTCCAGCTTAAGTTGTAAAATAATTGTTAACCGACAAAGTTAAAGCGATGCAATACCTGGGATCCATATTTTGAAGCTGAAGCTGGTTTCCTTTCACCAAGAAATCTTATAAAGCTCCTAGTTGTGGTGAGGGGAAGGAAAGCAGATAAATCACTTTACATATTCCTTAAAATATTATAATATCTTAAAGATAACACAATCTATTTAAAGCTTAGCTCACCAGATCCCTCTTTCATCAGCAGCAAAAACCATAGGATTGCAATCGAATCCTACACCTATAACCATTCTCTCACTAACAAATAGTATCTGAAAGAGTGTTATATTGATCCAAAAAAACTTCAAGATTAGAAAGCGAAATAGTACATTGTATTTAAATAATTATAAGAAATACTCAAAGAGTAAAGAAAAATGGATGCTGACCCACATCACGAAGAGGCAAATCTCGAAGTGCAACATTCTGGGCTAGAGGGGAAGGACCAATTTCATCAACAAAGTAAATCATCGAATTGTGACCTGCAGCATTTAAATTATTAAAAAAAAAAAAAAAAAAACTTCAGTAGAGTACAAATAAACCACCATCTAAACAAGAGCATAAAAAATGAGACTCTAGTTGAATCCTATAAATTGCTTTCAACGCCCCAAACAAAAGGTAACTAAAATAATGGGGGAAATTTCATAGTTACAATTGTTAAGTAAAAAGTTATAGGAAGCTAACCAATGAACTTTTTTTTTTTTTTTTTTTGACGAGAGACGATTTCATTGATGATTGAAATTTATAAAATGGATGTATTATCCATAATGTTTATGAAAAAAAAACTTACCCAATTTATAAGGAAGGCAGTATGACTATAAGAAGCAAATGTATTAGACAATTCAAACTTGTCTCTGTAAATTCAAACTTGTTGCTATTCCATATGCTGTAGTTGTAACTTATAAAGTTGTCTCTGTAAATAATTTGCAGAGAGGAGATACTTCTAACCTGCATAAGCTAAGGTTTTGCCACTTGGTGACCACTTCACGCCAAATGCCCAAGAGAATGAGAGATCGAGCTGAACAATTAACTAATTCACCAAAAGAAATTGCTCATAAATAATAGGAACTACTTTGCTCGTCAAAGTAGAGAGCAACTGTGGACAAAGATACTGAACCATGTCTTTTTCAAAGGGAGAAATTCAAATCATTTAAATTTGAACCAAAGGATGACAATCCAAAAACACTTTTAGTTATTTTATAAAAAACAATTTAAGCATTCTACTCTTCCAAGCACAAGAAATCTTGTTCACTGCAAATTAAAAGTCTGAATATTAAACCTCTCCGAATTTTGAATCTGAAAATGCGCCGGCTTTTGAATCCCTGTGAAATTTCAATCAAGCATCAGTAACTTCTAAATCAGTCCTATAATATTTCATGAGAAGACTGCAGTCTAAACTACTCTCTACATACTTTGTGTCAACACCTTTAATGAAGGTGGAAAATATTCGACATTTTCCATCCGTTGAGGTTGTTGCAAGAAGAAGCTGTGAATAAAATATAAGGGAAAATTCATAACCGAAAAACACAGCCATAATTTGCTCAGAAAAAGTGACAAGCAAGCACTAAGATATAACTGGAAATCTTCTAAAAAGATCAAAAAATTTGTCCATATAAATTCATATGAAACGGTGGAAAGAAGGGTAAAACAAACATTATTGGGATGCCAAGCGACATTTGTCACAGAAGAATCATGCCTTTTCCTGAGAAGTTTACTGACCCACCTGTGGAAGGTAAACCATGATCATGTTAAATATGGAAAACTAATGCGTAAGCATACTAGGTGAAGCAATGATAAAGAGTTATTTCATTTCTGATAAGAATTAATTATGATTCAAAAATAAACTAAAGCATTGATTACAAAGCCAAAGAAACAAAAAGATTACAGATAAGAAATATTAGCAATAAATTCATCATCTAGCAGAGTTTCCATCTTCATGTAAAATAAAGGCAATAGATACGATGACTTGAACAAAAAGTGAGAAAGAGCCATACCAATTGTTCTCTTGTTCATAGTAGCATATGCAAACAGTTTTTGCCCCACTTCCAACAGCAAACTTGTTTTCTAGGGGTAAGATGGATAATGCAAAACGTAGAAATTTAAGGATGATGTGGATAACATAAGTGATGAGCAAGAGCAGGGTAGGACATTTTGCACTACCTTTTGGACTCCACTGAACACAAAGTGCAGCACGGTTTAGTCTAAGAATGACAAGAGTTGGTACCCATTCTGATCCTTCAAGGTTCCAAACATATCTAGAAAGAAAAGAAATTGGTAGGCCAATGTGGAACATATAAATAAATAAAATTCCCAAAATATTATCTGAGAGAGGCCAGAAGAGGCTGGGGGAAGGAAGGGGTGATAACTGGAGTGAAAAAAAGAGAAAAGATAAGAAACCAGTGAACGTACAAATAACTGGACCAAAAAAAACAAGAATATGAGATAACACTTACGAATTTCGATCATGTGATGCAGTCACAATTCTGTTTGACTTCACACTCCAGTCTATCCCAGAGATAATTTGATCGTGCTGACACAGACAAAGTAGATAAATTAATAGACATTAACAACATGCCTTCATTAGAAAGATTTCACTTAACCTAACTCAAAAGATTGGAATGAAAACAAAAAAAATCGATCATGAATAGATAAATGCAGTGACCTTAGGTTTCATATTTTCTCATAAGTTATAAATGGAAACAGTAAAGTTAAAAGGCACCTTTTGAAGAACATGTATTCTCTCCCAGTTGTCTTGTACTGATTTATAAATGTGAACTTCATTGTTGTTGGGACAAAATGCAACCACTATAAAACATATCAAGAACATTAGCATAAGCACAGTCAGTTGATGAATCTAAACAACAATTGAATAAAATCGTCCTTTTGATTATTAGACAATGGAGAGCATTGAAGTAACAAAGTAACAAACGAATGTCCCCCGGGTGACCTGAAAAACTTAGCAGCCGATTCGATAACAGCCCATTTCTCCATGAATTTTAGCATGTATCCTACCCCATAAGACATATTGGTTATTCCCAGAATGATCAGATCAGTAAACAGATCTCGTGAAGCTAGTCAACAGCATAACTAGCATGTATCCTACCCCATAAAACATATTGGTTATCGTATTTTCAACTGGGCGGAGGTTGAGCCCAAGTAACCTATCCTGGCGTTCTTCCCATCATTCATCAATAAAGCAAAGTAAATCTAGATCGCTCAGCTGAATTGATATCATTGCCCTCTCTTTGATAGCTCAGGAAACATAGATACACGATCTCAATATATAAAATCCACGTCTAAGTATTTTGGTTCAACTTTTTCCTGAACTGAGGACAAACAAATTACAGAAAACTCGACATATCCATCCCATTTCTCCCGCAGAAAACAGAAAGACAAAATAAAGAAAGCGAGCAAAAAGAGAAGGGTTAATTACTAGAGTGATCAGGACTCCAAGCATGGCAAGTGATGCACTGAGCGAACCCGTGAACTGCAATTGCTGTCATTGTTTTCCCGGCTCCAGTAGAGAATATTGGAAATTCTCAGGAATCAACGACGGCTCGAAATTCCAGCTTCTCGGTGAATTTGGTTTGCGGTTGAGAAATACAGGCGCGCGCGAGGGAGATCTCAGAAATACGAATGCGATCCAAAAAGGAAAGCGACCATGGCGAAAACCAGCAGCCGTGTGTGTTAAGAAAGATTCTCCCTGCACAACGTAAATTTGTGAAATTAAATCTTACGAAAATATCATTTTTTTTTTTTAAAATGGAAAATTGAAATTATCTATTACTTTTCTTAAAATTCAAGGTGAAATAATAAGACAATTATGAAAATAAAATAAAATTAGTGGTCTCATCTAAATAACAATTTTTTATAATTAGTTTTTTACATTTTTTTTAAATTGGATTTAAATTCTAACCATTATTATGTTCCGACATTTTTAATTATTTTCTTAATTTTTCTAATTATAGATTTTTAATTATCTTGAAATTTAATTAATGGCCAGCAGCGTAGTGGCCCGCGCCGGCGCTAAGGTCCGGTCCATGGTTCTCTAACCTTTGCCGCTGGGCCTGCACCCAAGTAACCACCACACGGCCTCAACCGTACGGGCGCGCATTTCAATTGGAATAATAAATGAGAGAATTAAGCAAAGCATATTGAATTCGTTTACAATTCACCACCCTCATCTAACATTAGAGAACAGACGTTCTGATTCCAACACCTGCAAACGCCATTTGCAAGACATCTAGATTCAGATCTCTTCTCTTTCGTTTTCCTCGTCCCGGTTCCTGCATTTCATCTGCGTATTCCTGCTAATTTCTTCTCCTATTTCCTCGGATTCTTCTCAGGTCAGTTGTTTCGATACGTCTCACATTCCGAGTATTGCAGAATCCCGTCATACTAGATATCTTCTTACGATGCTTTGTCTATTTAGATGATTTGAATTATTTGATTGATTCTTTAGGCTTTTCTGTTACTTTGATTCCACTCGAGCTTTGGTTTTCCTTGTTCTGGTTTGAGCTCATCCTTATCGATGGTTTATCTTGTTGATTCTGTCCGTTCTGTTAATTAGTTGCGTGTTTGTTTGATCATTTTGAAGTAGCAAGTTTCAATGATAGTTATAGAACTATGCTCTCTCGTTTTCCTCCATGTTGCACATGTTGCTGTTGGTGGCGCGCAGTATTCACGCGCCTCATTTAGAATAGCTCTTTAACGACGTCACTTGTCGTGTCACCTGCTGATGCCAAAATCCTAATATTTAAGTGTAACTACATTAGCTACCTTAGTTTAGCTTATGCTGCTTCTCGTAAGAATTATTGGAGGCTGGAAGAAAGTTATAGAGACTTGTACCTGTGTTATTATTCCTTGCTGGCTGTTACACGTAATAATTTTCAGCACAAAAGTTCATAAATTATGAATGTGTTTTGTTTTTTTCTTTCTATTTTCCGAACTTTTATGATTGGGAAGTTCCACGAAAATTGGGTACTATGTATTTAAAAAATTCGGTTGGGATAAGAGACAATTGTATTAAAAAATAACAAGGTTATAGTAGAGAGACGGCAAGGCATTGCAAGGAGATCAAGGAGAGGTTCTTTAATTGATCTGAATAATAACCGGGTTGGGGGTGTATAATTACAAATCACTGAACGAAGGCCCGTCTTGGCAATATCATATGAAAAGAAAACTGCACGTTTTTATGACTTTCCAAGTTTTGTCCCGATTCAGCTTTATTTTCAATTCCAGTGCTAATTGAATTTCACACGAAATGTTCCACTTGCTATGATTTGTGATGCATGAAGTTCCTGCTCTCTGTTTGCTCATTTTCATCTGTCAATGATTGTGCTAGAGAACATAGGTGGTTCTAAATTGGTAAAGGAGATGACGGCAAATTCTTTGGATACAGAAAAGCTTGAACACAAGGGTTGATTCAATTGAGACAGGTAGTCAAGAAGTAGGTGGGTTGTCATAGAGGGCCATTTTCCTCACGGTGGTATGACGAAAAGGGTACTGTCCCAGTGAATACCCCATTGATTTATGCAGATTCAAGTGTGCAGCATACTGGTCTCAAATTGCCTTCACTTCAACTGGGTCAACTTGTATAAATTGCCATTTTGAGGAGGAGATAAACTGATATATAAAGTGTCAGCAGACAAATATGCAATCTATAGGCGGGGAGACTGAGGCCCACTTTCCTGTTCACGTTGAGGGAAATGAAAGTGAGAAATATGAACCTTTTAGTATTGAGAACGAACCTGGGGGGAATATTAATGGCGATGACTGTGAATCCTTTCACAATGATATTCACAGTGATAAATATAATTCTCCGCGGCTAGATGCAAAGAATCCTCTATCCAATTCCAATGTGGTCAAGACATTATTCTATGTTCTTGTCTGGTATACTTTTAGCCTTCTTTTGACTTTGTAAGTTCCTTATTCACATAATCAATAATTAAATTTGTAATCTAATATTTATTTAGAATGCTCAATTAAACTGGATTTCTCCTGGTTTGTGCAGATATAATAAATCTTTATTAGGAGATCATTTGGGCAGGTTCCCGGCTCCATTGCTCATGAATACTGTTCATTTTACAATGCAAGCTGTTCTATCCAATTTGATTACATGCATTTGGTCTAGTCGATTCCATCCTTCTGTTACTATGACATGGAGGGATTACTTCACGAAAGGTAATCTTGAGACTAATGGCCTTTATTTAACCTTTTCATGATGCTGGTATACGCACTTCAATTGATATTTTCACTGTACAAAGCTAATGTATAATGATAAGTTTGCTTTCCTAAGAGAGAGTCATAAGAGTGGCATTTTCTAAGTGACGGTCATAAGCTAACATATAATGATAAGGTTGCTTTTCTTATAAATACTTTGTGTTATGAAGTAAAGAACGATGGATACGTTCTCTATGATTTACGTATAAGAATGGCATTTTCTTCATTGATGAATTGTGAATCCAGTTACGTTTTAATTTCTCTGGAAAAAGCTTCCTTCTAATCCAAAAAATACAAATTACAAAATACAAAATTTTCGTTCTGCTATTTTTGTCATTGCATTAGTTGTTAAGAATCATGCATTTTAATGGTTTTTTTTGTCATTATTCTGAAATTTCATGGATGGTGTTTATCTTTATTCATTAGAGCTTGTTTACATTTGTTTTGAGCCCGTAGGATGTCAACTTTTATATCGTTTGTAAATTAACTTTTCTATCAACTAATGCCACAGATGGACTTTGCCTTTCACAGTTGTCCCAACGGCTCTTGGAACAGCCTTGGATGTTAATCTAAGCAATGCATCCCTTGTCTCGATATCAGTCACATTTGCTACCATGGTTGGATAACTTTTCTTCATGCTTATTTATTGAGTTAAGAACTGTCTATGTTGTAAATACAGTCTGCTTTATGCTTCATAATACTGATTCTCTCTCTTTTTGATTGACAGTGTAAATCCGGTTCTCCTATATTTCTCCTCCTGTTTGCTTTTGCTTTCAGGTGAGTTCTACGACTAAATTGTATAACCTAGTTTCTTTTGCATGCCTTTACGTAGATAATTGTATCTAATTGCATCCAATCTTCTCGTACCTCATACATTTTGGAAGTATTGTGCTTTTCTGACGCTGTATAACATTTGAGCATAATTTTTAACAACTGCATATGATTTCAACGACGTTCCTACCTTCCTGGGGATTCTTTGGCTGTGTATTGAATATGAGTTACCGCTGAATATTGAGAATGAAATTTATTGATTATTTAGTCTCGAGTGATGTGCTTATGCTTCTTTTACAAAAAAAAATTTATTCTTTAATAAGAAATTAAGAAAAATATATTAAAAAAAAAAAGGAGAACAACCTAAAGGCGTTTAGAATGAGGGATCTAGGAGGAATCAAGCAAAAGGCCTACAATCAAATATGAGAAGAGAGATTTCTCTTATGGTTGATTATTTTTATGATTGCCTTGATCAATTTTTTTTTTTTCCTTTTTTGTGATTTAATTAATTGAGTATGACATGAAGAAAATTATCGTATTTGGCCCCAAGTAATAGGCTTTCAATATAATGCTTGGAGATTGCTTATTGATATCAAATGTTAAAATTTAAAATATTCCATCGTCTCATTTTCTTTCTCTTGATGATTTATTCATTTAGCATGAATTTCTTGTCAGGTTGGAAACTCCTAGCCTTAGACTTTCTGGCATCATCTTGATTATATCTGTTGGAATTTTATTAACAGGTATCCAGTATTTCTTTTACTCCTAGATAATAATCATGAATTTTAGAATTTCAATTGTGTAATTCTTGATTATATAAATGACCATCGATGGTCAAACTGATTGAACCGAGTTGGTCAGCTGGTTCCAAGCAAGTTCCAACTTGCACCCATATCACCACCCTTACTTAGGAAGGACTGGACTTTTTTGTTTGTTTTATTTTTTATAATACGAGTATTTGGGCCAATTATGATTGTGTCACTCCTTAGCTACTCATGGGATAAACTGCAGTGCCTTACAACATAGGGTTGCAAAAAACATTAAGATTTTATCTTTGGTAGGTGGATACCATAGGATTTGAGTCCTTGCTCCCAAAGTCTACCAAGTGCATCCCAACCCTTTTTACCACTAGCCATCCATGGTGGTTAGGACTAGTGTTTTAGAACTAAAGTGGGTTTACCTAAGTCACATATTCGAGGAAGATTGGAGGTGGAAGTGAAATAATTAGGAGCAAGTGAATTGTTTCTATTGGCTCTATTTTATTCATTTATTATTATTATTATTTGTCCGTAGCATCTTTTAAGCATTCATTACTCATTAAATCTAACATCTATATTAAGTTTAATATGTATTTATGCCCCGTCATTCTTCCTTATCTGGTCATGTCTATGCAGTTGCAAAGGAGACAGAATTTGAATTCTGGGGTTTCATTTTTGTTATGGTTGCTTCTGTTATGTCTGGCTTCAGGTGGTCCATGACGCAAATTCTTCTTCAGGTATGAATTTCCATTTTTGCATTCCTTTTTCCACGTATGCTACTGTTTTATGTTATCAGAAAATTTGTCTTACGTGCAACTATTTGAATTGATTCTTGCTTTTTTATTGTTGGCTTGGATCTTGACACTTTCCCCCTGTATGATGCATTTATTGCCCAACTGGATATGAAGCGAGAAGCATATGGTAAGTGTTTTTATGTGCTGCTTAGATTTTAGTTCTTGGATTTCTTTTGGTTCTGTATCCGTGGACATTTCTGCAAGGTTTCATGGACAAAATAATCAATTTGTTCTTGGAATCTTGAGTTTTATCCCCAAACTTTCAGCCTTCGTAGATAATATGTTTTATTTTGTTCCCTATTAAAAAATATGTTTTATTTTGTTTCATCGAATCAAATAGTTGACACATCAGGATCAATGAATTACTATGAGTCGATCCATTTTCTTTCTACTAGTTCATTTTATTTTGACGTTGAGTTCTTTTTGGAAATTCTTAGATGTTTTGTTTAGATTTCAATTTTATTCGTACCAAAGTGGTGCTGTTAAATATTGTCTAACAACATGGTTCCATTCATATCAGGGTTGAAAAATCCTTTTACCCTGATGAGCTACGTGACACCAGTGATGGCCATTGTGACTTTGATGCTATCTCTTGGTTTAGATCCGTGGGAAGAATTTACCAGTAATGGATATTTCAATAGTATCTGGCATGTTACTCGGAGTTTCTTGCTGATGCTTTTTGGTGGAGCACTTGCCTTCTGTATGGTAGTAACCTATTTGAATATTTCCTTCACTGTACAATAAGCACAGTTTTGCTGGAAGAGAATTGATTTCTATAAACTGTACAGTAGATGTAGTCTATAGAGCATTTATTTTCTGGGATCTTTATAAAGTGCTGTCTCGAGTTTTGTCCCAACTTTTTGGTGCTCAAATCTTTTGTTAGCTTCTCTATTTGAACAATTATACTATCCTTTGGCAGGTATTAACAGAATATATCCTTGTCTCTGTCACTAGTGCTGTCACGGTTACAGTTGCTGGTGTTGTAAAGGAGGCTGTAACTATATTGGTATGAGATCTTTTGACTGTTTTCATTATGCTCCCTAATCAAGATGTAGGGCCCTTCAATTTTGTTTCATAGTGGTCTAGTATCTCATCTCAAAGTAGTAATTTGTAACCATTTCTCTTGAAGCATTTCTTTTGAGTTGTCTTGACTTATCATAAGTAGTTTTGGGCTTGCTCATTTAGAGTTTTGTAGTGAGCTAACTGTCTAATGGAAGAAAAATTGAGATAGTGTGCTATATATATAGCATAACATAGTAAGTCATTTCATTTTCAATTTCAAATCTGAATTTGGTACTGCCTTACTTGAGGATAAATCTGCCGATTTCTGCATGCATCTTTGCTCACTAGAATCACTTAAGTATGCTTGAAAGGTAGGCTGGCCTTCCTTTTTTCTTTCTATTTGTATTGCTGGCTCTGAGATGCTCGTTTCATTGCGATAGCAGTAATTTTAATTAAGTTGACTCTAGGTTCTGGTTTCACCAGCATCCCACTGCAAGGAAATGAACTTATCAAGTTATTGTCTTTCCTTCTGTGCTACTGCAACGACATTCAAAATGTTATAGAAGGGTGACATTGAGGTGGGAAGACATCTCGTCTTCCCTTTCACATTTGGTTTTTTTCCCCTTTTAATAAAAGCATTTCTTCTGCAAAATATATATATATATATATATATATATAAAGAAGGGGGGAAAAGGAGTTTTGAAGTGCGAAGTACTGAGATTCAAAATTTCAACTACAAGAGTACTGGTCAATCCTTCATTTCAGGGGGACTATTAATCCCTGGCATCTTCTATTTTAATATTGCGTTATTGCATTTTCAGGTTCTAGTATTTTACTTCCACGATAAACTAACCTGTCTAACTTCTAATTTAACATTGCATTTTGTATTTTCAGGTTGCAGTATTTTACTTCCATGATAAATTTACCTGGCTCAAAGGAATAGGTCTCATCATAATAATGATTGGTGTCAGCTTGTTCAATTGGTACAAGTAAGTTGTCATTTTTATAAACATGACATCTCTTGAAAATCTACTCATTCTAAGATTAAATATTGGTGCTTGCCTGCTTGATTAGCATGCCTGACAGTTAGTCTAATATTTTTGTTAATAATCATCCTTCAAGTATGATATGATTGTTTACTATTGGTATTTATGAATTTTCTGGATGTAAAGATGTGGAATGTAATCAACTTGTATTTTAGAATAAATATTGTTTACAATTGAATAGTTACAATATCATAAACCACACAATTAGAAAGGTAAATATTACTTGGAATTAGAGACTTTGAGGATTGGGACACAGAATAGCAATAGTTTATAAATTTACATCTAAACAAGTAAAATATTTGGTTATGGGCGCTTCTTGTGCTAATTCATGTTTTATTTCCAATTACTCATTAGATACCAAAAGCTACAGAAGAAATCTAGTGAAGATAACGTGGTAAGCTCACAGTCAACAAATGTTGATGCCAAATATGTAATTCTTGAGGAGATGGATGAGGAAGATGGCCACCATTGATTGCCAAATTACATCGTCTGAATCTTAGCAAATTCAAGTATGCTTTCTTAACTTGTTTTTGCCAATTGTTCCTCTTATGAGTTAGTTGGTTATGCTTGGTTTCAGCTGAAAATATATCTTTACTTAACTCCATATGGAAAATGTGTTTGTTTACATAAGATGTGCAAAAAGGACATTGTTTTCCAAATTCTTTTCCAGTTCTTAATTCCCCTAAAATGTAGGAAACAATTAATCTAACTGTATTGTTTTTGCTAGATTTCTATGATTTCTCCCACTTTAGGACTGAATGGCAGCGTGGGGATGCCCTCTGTGTAAATACACAAGTCTTGGCCAGTAACATTTTATATGTTGAACCTTTTAACTCCAAAATTTTGGAGGATTAGGGAGAACGTTAGAGTCTTAATTAATCTATATATGAAGGGGCTCCACTCCTGTTTAGTATGGTTCTAGTCTTCTCCATTATTGTTACTTGGTAAAGAGGTCTTTCATCAGAGGCCTTAATGACCCGATAACCGATTTGATCACTAATATCCTGTTCTATTTGAAATTTGTGCGCCAATTTGGCTCATACAAAACAATAAGGGGCATTGTTGATTGAAAATAGTGCGGCTCGTGGTGTTGTCCTTTGGACCCAAAGCCTGTTACTTTTGTCATGAGATTTGTTTAAATTTAATGATGCCGGAAGGGAAGTTACATGATGAATTATCATTCTAATTTCTGAGAATAAATTTGGTTACATATCCTTCATCATCATTATTATTATCATCCATGACATATCGAATAGTTTCTTAGTTATACTGATCTGGTTGGTTGATGTTCCTACAGGGTGCGATCATTTTGAACAGATTTACTTGAAGTTTCATATAAATTGCTATTAAAGGAATTTCTGTACGGGCTTTAGTCGCTGACCATATTCAATTCCCATGCCAGTATTCTTGTTGCCCTAGTCGTTGGTCTTAGCTTCGAAAAGGTATAAGCAATTTTGTTGTGAATGCTACCCAAATTTGTGGCTCCTATTGTTTATGGGGTTTCAAAGGATTACTGTCTTTTGACCGGATGTTCTACTCAAGCTTTGTACTCTAAGTATCGATATTATTCTACTTTCTTTGGTTCATGGTTTGTATCTCAAAGTTGATGGCAACTCAAAACCTATTATTTCTTTTACTTGTTCTCCCATTTTAAAGATTTGAAACGTACAGAACCACAGGGCATCTTTTGCCATTGATGTGGATAAATGTTCTATATTTTGTTCCTTCTCAAGAGGAACTTGACTAACTCTAGTAGATAGCTTGGACATAAAGCAGGTTTTTCTTGGAAATTTAAAACTATCAGCTGTATTCCTAAGTTGTTGAAGTCAAGTCGGTATCATATCTGTAATACTAATTAAAAGTAAATCATTTTTTCATATTTGTTCGTTTTTCATTTCGAAATTTTATTTTAGTCATCTAATATCGCGGGTGTTCGTATTTTAGAATATTGTTTTCTCACTTTTGAAAAAAAAGTTTAGTTAAATGGCAAATTTAGTTTCTATTGTGTTAACGCTATGTTTCAGATTATGGCTTCACTCTACAGATTTTGTTTAAAAAAAAACCCTTAACAGTACATTATAAAAAAGAAAAGGGGAAAGAAAAAAAAAATCAAAGGATGTTAATACTTAATGAATTTGACCCAAAAATACATTATGAACTAAATTTAAAAATGGGATAAAGATGAAAGAAACTAAATTGAAATTTTAAATCATTAATAAACTAGTAACATCAAAACCCACCTAATAAATGGATTGAATAAAAAATAATATTAATGCACATTACACAGCCCCCAATAAGAAAGAAAAAAAAGGGGTAAAGACAGAGCACAAGTCCTAATCGACTATATTACTTTCTCCATTGTCTTCCCAACGAGGGAATTGTCACCAATTTCTGACAAGCACGAATAGATTAATTTACTGACCGACTTTAAAGTCTTGTGATTCCAGACCTTATTGCTTTCAGCTTCAACATTTTCATTTCCTGTCAATAAAAAACATTTAAAACTTCTTCAGATCAAGAAGACCGACTGCATACATACCGAACACAGTGACTGAAGTGACTAAATTTTCAAACACCAAGAACAAAAAACCAAAATAGTTACAGTTATCAAACAGGGACTTAATTAACCAATGATTTATAAATGATAATTGCTAGAGTCAATCTGTGTTTAATAAGTTTCTTGAGAAATAGCTTAAGATGTTCGGAGTGATACCTTGGGAGACTTTAGAACAAGAGAGCAGCGTAGCACAGAAACTAATGTAGTCTGCAATAGGAATGTGTCCAACTTTATAGGCTGAATGAAGAACCTCTATGATTCGAAATACTATTTCTGGATGCAACTCAGGACCTATGAACATGAAGCAAAATGATTGTAAAAAGAAAAACAATTGTTGAAGCAGATACGTGTACCATGATAATGGAAATAACAACAAATTATTACTCACATAGGCAGCAAGAAGCTAAAGACTTCAATAGAAGAGGATCCAAGTAAGAGAAGTAATAAAGACAACAAATTGAGAGCTCCTGACATTCTTTAGGAAGCTTTATAAAAGGACCGTCGCATTTTCCTGCAAAATGGAAGAGAATGACAAGGGGAAGGATAGAAAAAATAAGTTAAAACAACACACTTAGTCACCGCATTTTGATAGTTATAATTTATTCAGTCCTAATCCTTAAAAATTCTCAATTATGTCCTAATTATAATGTATTTAAGCCACTTTTTCCACCAAAGTGCAAATCAAAAGAGACCTACCTTCAGCAGTATTCGTATTGAAAAATTCTTGCAATAGTAATTGTGTGTTGTCATATTCCCATTTCAGAGGAGAGTCTAAGAAAGAGGATTGTCCCACATGAAGCAAAAGACGCAACACAACCTGCAATATAGATGCAACTTAGAAGCAGATATGAAATTTAAAGCCTACAAATATTTCCTACAGTAACCACACCATGAATTACAGAAGTGCAGAATAAAAACATAAGGAAAACTTGCACTAGCCTGGAATAATAAATACCTCGGAACAAGAAGAATATTTGTCACCAATATGGATCAGCAACAGTGGCAACTCCCTAATCCATGCCACCCGATGCTCTACTATTTCAGGAAAACTAGCATCCACGCACGAAAACTCAGTTGTCTGTGATTTGATAAAATAAATCAAGAGTGAGTTTTATCAACAGTAGTTTCTAAAGGAAAATAATTGAGCACACTTACAGGAATGAGCATTTCTTCAATGACATGCAAGCAAGCCAATTTTAAAGACGACTCTGGGTGGCAATCTTTGAAGACATGAGTAAACCCCTGTAATTACTTTACTAGATCAAATGGCTTTCAAGGTTTTATGCTTATTTTTCAGACATTAAAAAAGTTGCAAACAGAATGTAGGATACATAGATAATAGAAAAGAATTACACTAGTTCAAACATCAAACCTGAAGTAGTCGGAACCTCCAACTATTTTCCACTTGTGCAATAAGTTCAGGAATAAAAGGAAGTAATGGAAGGATATGCCTCTCTCTGACCACTTTACCAGATTGAGTGCCACCAACAATCTGCAAGTAAACATTCACCCAAGAATTGATCCACCACTCTCCCGAAAGTACCAACCAGAAAACCAAACCTTCACTCAAAAATATCCAAGGAATTATTACCTTTCCAAACATTACACTTTCTATAAATTCTAGAAATCTCTCCAATATCACATTTGGAGGTTTGATACACTTGCTTGAATGCAAAAATATCTCTGTAATGACAATGTTCAGTGTTAGTAATCTGTCGTTATCCTGTCAAACAAAAACAGAATTGAATCACCCAATTTGAAATGGTCAAAGAAGGCATCTATTATTCTATTAACAAAATTAAATATAAAATTTCTATTCTTCAACATTTATTATTTAAAAGTGATATTAATAAATTTAAGTAAACAAAAATAATACATAAACTAAAAAAAACTAAAGAAACAATTATAATAAATAAACAAATAAAAGTAGAAAGAGGCTTAATGGTTAGAGAGAAAACCCCGTTTACATACACTATTATTAAATGTTTAAATCCTTTTGTAAATCTTCCGAAGTTAACAACCTACTTTCTTTCTTAAAAAAAAATGATAACAAAATGCACAAAAGTATAATTAAGAAGAAAAAGTGATAAATACTGAATCAAGTCAAAGGCTAGTTTGAATAAAAGGAAAGGCAAGTACACATTATAATTTGGGATCAAAGATGATAATCTTAGTTTACCTTCTCTGAGCTGTGGTGCAAAAGATTAAGGGGAAATACAGAAAGCAATTTCTTTAACAATGCTGATGAAATTGTCCCCTTCAACCGTGTGTCAGACCATTCACAAGGAGAATGTGATTCCACTTTACCATTTTCACTCCCATAAAGGAAGTACTGAACAGCAAGATGTATGCTTCGAACAACATATAGAATACAGTCATAAATTTGTGCATTAAGAAGATTTACATCATGAACCGCTGGCATAAACTCTTGGAAGCAATTTAATAACACAAGCACCAAATCCTCTAATTTCTCAACAATGACACAAGACCCTAAACAAAAACAACAAAGAAACAGAGATAAAAGTCAGATTTTACAGTTCATTGACAAACAGAATAAAAAGGAACGACAACAAGAAGCTAATTTTCTTAATGTGGCCCAATCAATGCTTTGCAGTTCTTCCTTGATGAATTCCTACCTTTTTTTAAGGAGAAACCAAACTTTTATTAAGGAAAATGAAAGGAAAATAAAGCAGGCATGACAAAAAAAAAAACCTCACTAGATCCAAATTAAGTTTCGTTATGTAGCATGATGACATACCAAATAATACTAGTTGGCACAGAAACAAGATTTACTTTCCCCTACACTGGGAAGTAGATCATACCTATTCGTTTCTTGTGTTCTCACCATAATTCTTTTTATGCATACTTGCGTTTTCCATAGGTCAGGAATTATGCTAGCTGGATTATTGTTGTCCTCTCCTATTCAGGAAGGATTCTGCTTACTAGCCAACCACATTACATCCATTTCTAAATATGGAAACAGAAAATGTCCCTTCCAATACTTTTAGATGTCCAAGCCAACAAACTAGTAAGGATTCTGTTATCTTATAGCTTCATGGAGGATACTTTATCCTACTTTTCTGTATCTTAACGCGTTTAATGATTATTCATTAGTGTTTTGAGGTTGATTCCCCTGTTTTAGTTGGGCCTCCTTGTTTTTTGCTAGTTTATTTTCTTAACAAGAGTGGGATTTGTATAAAAAAGGAACAAAATGGATATTAATGAGAAAGAATGTAACAGGCACAAACACTCAGCAACTGGACTCTCATTTCACGTACCAGCAGATTCTGTAGGCACAAGAGGCTCAAAATCGTGCAGCATCCCTTCGTCTGCCACATTCTAAAAGTAAAATAAATAAATAAATTTGTGAATTAAGGCTCTATGTCAAAGGCTCAAAATAATCAAGTTACACTACAAAAATCATAAACAAAAATAAGTCTTAAAACAAGAATAACTGAATAAGCAAACAAAACGAGATGCTTTCTTTACACATTACATTTTTAGCTGAGCCAATTTCTCTCCTGTTGCATGGCAATAATGATAAGCATTGGACCAACCCAGTAAGAGCATGCTTGAGCTTGCCTTTATCTTGTAGATAAAATTTATTCTTCTGCAGAATTTCAGCATAATTCTGGAGAATCTGAAGATGAAGAAAACAATAGATACATTTTTAAAAACCAAAAAAACCAACAAAAAAAAAAAAAAAAAAAAAAAAAAAAAACCCAACAACAAATGGCGACAACACCAAAAGTGTAAATCGTGGACACGAGATATTCTCTTATTCCTTATTTTAAGGGAGTTCTGTAACAATAGTGCCTTTCCTTACCGATAGTAAAATATTGTTCTCTCTTGCAAGCTTTATCTCCACTCGAGAGTAATTATGTTTGGATTTTCTTTCAAAAATTTCAAACATGATTCTTGTTTTGGGTACTCCACGAAATTTATAGATCAGTTTTGGAAGTAGGAGCTTTCAATGGTTCTCGTCATTGAGACAATTTTTTTAATCCTCTACAGGTTTAAGCTTGCGCAGGAACTTTCAAAGACTTCAAACATGATTCTTGTTTTGGTTGCTCAAAGAAACTCATAAATCAGTTTTGGAGGTAAGAGCTTTCAATGGTTCGTCACTGAGCCAAAATTTTCAATTTTCTAT